CCTCACTAAATAAGGCTCACACTTCCATGAAGCGAGTCTTCAGGGGCCACCCCAGTCGGGGTGTTTTTGGACGGGCTGGCCGCTACAGGGGCCGAGCAGCCAGCCGTTTTTGGCCTTCTGGCCCCCGCTCGCACAGATCCCAACCCTTCTACCCAGAAGTGGGTTTCAGACAGCCCTTCTCCTACACCCGAGGAGCCGACAGAGGCAGAGGACCTCGTAACCGTGGCAGAGCACGCTTCTCCACAGGTAAGCACCTTAGTGTCTCAATGTCCACTTACCCCATGTACTGCAGGTCGTATTGCTCTGTCTTTTCAGAACTGGACAGCCATCTCCACGGACGCATGGATCCTCCAGACGGTTCGGGGCTACGTCATAGATTTCGTGGAAACCCCGTTCCAGACCGCCCCTCCGCACCCCATTCACTGTTCCAAGATAGATCGCCACTTAATCGATGGCGAACTACGGGAACTCAAAGAAAAAGGAGCGATAGAACCCGCTCACGACCAAAACGGTTTCTTCAGCAACATTTTCCTAGTGAAGAAAAAATCCGGAGATTTCAGGCCGGTTATAAACCTGAGGGGGCTCAATGCCTTTGTACTGTACAGACATTTCAAGATGGAAGGCATCCACCTTCTACGAGATCTGCTCCAGGACGGGGACTGGTTCACAAGACTGGACCTCAAGGACGCCTACCTCTCGGTACCCGTCCATGCTTCCTGCCGACAATTCCTCAGGTTCCGATGGCAAGGTCGCCCCTGGCAATTCACGTGCCTCCCCTTCGGCCTCAGCTCAGCACCGTGGTGTTTCACCAAACTACTGAAACCAGTAGTGTCTCGACTACGAAGTCAAGGAATTCGGTGCATTATCTACCTGGACGACCTGCTACTGTTCTCCTCAGACAGGTACAGTCTAACGCAACACACACGATATACCACCCGACTCCTCACATCCCTAGGTTTCGTGGTGAACTTCCAAAAGTCAGAAGTATCCCCAACCCAGACTATACAATTTCTGGGTTTCGAAATAGACTCCAAGACCAGCACACTACGGCTCCCGACCTCAAAGATCGCAGCCATCAAGAAGGAGCTACGCAGAACCATTCGCTGCCACACCATTCCACTCCGCAACTTGGCTCGGATCGTGGGCTTACTATCCGCATCTATCCAAGCGATATTCCCGGGCCCGCTCCACTACAGAGCGATGCAACGCTTGAAGGCTTCCTTTCTCCGCCAGAACCCTTCGTACGACCAAACTGTTCCGGTGACGGAGGAAGTCAAGGACGAACTCGGATGGTGGTTGGACAGCATGGAAGCGTGGAATGGCCGAGCCATCTTCGGAAACACGCCCGATATAGTCCTGGAATCAGACGCCAGCCTCTGGGGATGGGGCGCCACCTGCCAAGGCAATTCAACAGGAGGCACTTGGACTTCCCAGGAACTCAACCTCCACATCAACTGCCTGGAACTCCTAGCGGGGTCGTTTGCAATCCGCAGCTTAGCGAAAGACCGGACGAATTGTTGCATCCTCCTCCGGATGGACAACGTCTCAGCGGTCCGTTACATCAACAGACTGGGAGGGGCCCGTTCCAGACTCCTTTCGGAGATCACGAAAGAAATATTCCAGTTTTGCCTACCCCGGAACATCTCCCTCATGGCAGAATATCTCCCGGGCGAGACGAACCTGACAGCGGACTGGTTTTCTCGCCATTGGCGGGACAGCAGCGACTGGAGACTGGACCCAATGATCTTTCAGCGCCTCTCGGCCAGGAGGGGCCCCCTCCACCTAGACCTCTTCGCATCGCGCAACAACAGGCAGACGGACGAGTATTTCAGCTGGCTACCAGATCCGGAGAGCAAGGCAGTAGATGCTTTTCTCCAACCATGGCCGCTCAAGGGCGCTTATGCCTTTCCCCCATTCGCCATGGTGGCAAGGACGATACAATACCTGAAGACGCAACGCGGGTCTCTGCTCCTCATCACCCCCCTATGGCAGGGCCAACCATGGTTCCCGGACCTCCTAGTATCATCCTACAGGGACCCTCTCCTCATACCGTCCTACCAGACACTCCTCACAGACCCGAGAGGGAACCTCCATCCTCTCATTCTGGAAGACCGCCTCACTCTAGTAGCTTGGACTCTTTCAGGGGCGCCTGGCAAACCGAGGACCTATCGCAGACGGCTCGAGACCTCTTATGGGATTCATGGGCACCAGGAACCAGACGATGCTACCTTGCAGCATGGAATTCCTGGGCCGCTTGGTGCAGTGAACGGAACTTTGATCCCTTTACGGCACCTGTAACAGCCATCCTGAACTTTCTCTCCCATCTGTACTCCATGGGACGGTCTTACCGATCCCTCAACGTTGTGCGCTCCGCGATTTCGGCGGCTCACGTTCCGACCCGGGGGATGCCCGTCGGGAAAGATCCTCTGGTATGCCGTCTTCTCAGGGGCATAAGACTCCAGAGGCCTCCCAAACCCAAATACACCCGGTTATGGGATGTGGAGGTCGTTCTCCAGTTCCTTAGGGACTGGCCAGATAACGACAGACTTTCACTCCGACAACTGTCGGCCAAACTAACACTTCTTCTGTGTTTGGTCTCGTTCCGCAGAGTTTCGGACGTGCGGGCTTTCGACATTGACGCCTTTTCGGTCTCCCCCGAGGGAGTTACCTTCCAAGTGTCACGTCGTACCAAATCGGACTCCTCGTCGGTTTTTTACCCCTTTTTCCCTACGGAACCGCTGCTCTGCGTGGTCTCCACTCTGCGTCGATACGTACAAATCACATCCCCACTTCGGGTCTCATCTTCGGGCCAACTATTGGTGTCTTACGTTAGACCTCACGTACCCGTCTCCACTACCACCCTCGCCAGATGGGTGCGATGGATCCTGTCTCTGGCAGGAGTGGAGGAGACCTTCGGCGCCCACTCCGTTCGCGGTGCGGCGGCCTCGTCGGCTTTCACCGCGGGCGCATCGCTGGCAGACATCCTACGAGCCGCGGATTGGTCACGCGAAGCGACCTTTCGGACCTTCTATTTCCGCCCGAACACGGGGGCAGCCGCGTCTCTCCTTCATCAGCGTTAAAAATGCAAAATATGAAGCCTCCTGTCATGTTGTAAAATTGAAGATTATGCTAGCGTTAGTGTACTTATAATCTTAATTTTAGTAATGACAGGAGGCGAGTATTTTCCCACCCACCACACCCGCGAGGGATACGTTCTCACGTGAGTATACCTACACTGTGGGCTTTCACCCCTCTACTATCTTCCTACTCACTCTGCAGGATATCATGTTTGTAACAGGTCTATTTATGTCTCTGTTATCTGTTACTGTCATTCTGCTATGAATGTCTCATTGTCAGTGGAATTTGTATCTGGTCTATTTCATTACTGCAAACAGTTGCAAGATCGGTACCTAACCTTTTCCACGTTCTTTTTCAGCATAACTTCAGGATATTGCAGCTCACACTCAGGATGGACACGTTTGGACCATCTTCCGGCCTCTAGACCGGCTCAGTTGGAAAGTTCACCCGTTGGTGCATGTTACAAGACTTTGGATTTATCGAGGGAAATTTGTTTTCTGATGTCGCTTTCGAAAGAGGGGGAGGAGCCTCATCACTGTGAATATTGTACCTCCTACTGCATTTTTGATTGGTTAATGTTTTCTCACTTTTCTTTACTGCTGTGTGGAGTTAGTAAAGAGAGTTAATGCAAAATACTCGCCTCCTGTCATTACTAAAATTAAGATTATAAGTACACTAACGCTAGCATAATCTTCAATTTCTACACCAAACAAATTGACCTGTACATCGTACTTGACAGTTTGAAAGCATACGTATAAACCTAAACATGTATTTTAACTCAGGTTTTGTGTTTGTCCCTCTAGGTCAATCTAACATACTGAATGAAACCACAATAAACTACCGTACTGAAGATGAGGATAGGGAAAGTGGCTCTCTTACCTTCATGTGTGGGATGTGTGGTGGGATCCTCTGTAGACCAACGCTCATGATACGGGACAAGAAGCCTTTTCTCAGCTGGTGCTAACAGCGACTGTGGGAACTGACAGACAATGACTGCGGATACTATACCTTTTGTAAACATTTGTTAAGTTAGGTTTTGCTCTCAAAACAATGTAGTCCCTACATTCAGGGTTATTCACTAAGTTCTGAATCTGCAACAATAACCTAGATGAAAGAACATGTCTAGATGAAAATCAGCACTTCTGCATCCAAAACCTTTACAAAGCATAAGACTCAAATCAATGTAAATTGTAAATTGGAGCAGTTTGTGGGAGGGTGACAGTGTGGGGGCTGGGTGTGTGTTGGTGGCAGTGTGGGGGCAGTGTGTGTATGTTGATGACAGTGTGGGGGGGCAATGTGTGTTTCTGGGTGACAGTGGGGGAGTGTCAAGGGATTCCAAGCTATTGTCACCGTGTCTTCAATCCTCCGCTAGTCCTATTTCCAGATGTGCTTTTAACTGTGTGATAGCTCTCCCGATCCATTTAGAGATTCCCCAATATAATGGACACAACCAGTCACGTATGGTACAAGAAGTGTTTTATTCAGCCAAATGGACACATATTTATATCCAGACCCCCAGCATGGGGTCTCTATTCAAAACCCCTTAAATTCACCCCAGCGACTCTGCGTCTGGAAGATAATTGAGTTTAAACTTGGTAAATTAATTATCACGCGGATGCAGAGAGCACGATACAAAAACACCCCAAAAACATAATAAAACATACAGGAACCCAGATACATTATACATCCCTGGATAGCCCTGTTCTGAGCACTCATGCTGGCCAAATAACACCCGGATCCATGAAGAGATAATCAAACTCCATGAGGGAAAGTTTTGACCGACCGCACACGTTGGCGAAGCCCAAAATAGTTCCATGGGAATTGTCTTTGCAGCCGGTCAATATTCGGGAGATCCTGTGGACAAACAATGGGGGGCTCCCCCTGGCTTCCAGTGAGCGATTGTAGGGCTCACATGGTAGATGCTTCCACCCAAAAAGCACAGTCCTGGGTGGTGGCGAAAGGGGTGAGCATGGAGGTGCCAAATGACCGGATTGGTGGGGCTGAGCCAGAATTCCAGAGCAGAGGAAAGCTGAAAATGCCTCCACCCAAATAACGCCATCCTGTGTGATGGGGAAAGGGGTGAGCAAGGAGGTACCAAATGACCAAGTAGAGGGGTTGCGTGGGGCCGAGCCAGAGTACCACAGTGGACCTGGATTGCTTCCACTGATGGCATCTGGACGTCCGGTTCTCTTATAAAATCTCTGGGAGAGTGAACAAGGTGTGAAGGGAGTATAGGAGAGTCTGGGGACAAGTATATCCTCAACTATAAGTCATGGCTCCTGTTATAGGGAGCAGTGTTTGTGTGTGTGTGTGTGTGTGTGTGTGTGTGTGTTGTTGACAGTGGAGGACAGTGTGTGTCTTGGTGACAGTGTGGGGAGGCTGTTTTAGTGACAGGCCTCATTTAAATATCTTTTTGGTATTGCAGGGCCAGTGTCTTTCTAGTGGTGCAGTATCTATATCTCTCTGGTGGTCCAGTGCCTCTTTCCCTGGTATGTCTGACTATTTGAGGCAATATTACATCAATGTACACCCAGGGATAAAGTTTAATCTGCGTTCTGAAACTTTTATTTCATCCTAAGGTTAGAATTTAGCCACATTGATAACAATTGCTTTCTGGGGAAACATATCAGCTCTCATAGCTTTCAATAATGTTAGAATATTGTCTTATGATAATATATTAAATTCTAAATTATCTTCCTTTTTAACAATTTAAAAAATGCCACTTTATTTATTACAATTATTAAACTGAAATATTCTAAATTAGATTTTAGAAAATTTATGTATAGCAGTAAAAAGTACGAAGCTCCAAAATGAAATCTAAGTCTATAGTAATATGGTAACTAGGTTTCACTAATAAAATATCACAGGGAAATAAGTAATACAACGAGTTTAAAGTTTCTCTGTTACTCCGTAATGGGGAATATTCCTACAATAAATGATAGCATATTTACAGCGATATTTGGGTTACCTTTAATAATCACTAGGAATAAAGAAAGAGGTTTCATGTCACCGACAGGAGTCATACGACCGATCTCCTGCTTTGAAGGAAAGAAAGAATTTTACTTAAACACCGGAAATCCACAGAGGAGGTTTTTAGTTTTTAACCCTTTCTTCTGCCACAGTTCCAAATACAAAGGGATTTCAGATTTACTTAAATACAACTTAAAGGAGTAGTTAATCTTTGCTTTTTAATTTATAAAATGGTAAAAACTGATCTTTGGGTCAAATTTAACCATTCGTTATTAAACCATTTCGGTTTAAAAATAAATACTTTTTTTTGCATTTGATGGATGGAATACTGTCCAAGAACTCGTATAAATTACACAATTACACAATTTACAATTTCATATTTG